TATAAGAACGAAAAACTGAGACAAATATCTCAAAGAATACAATCAAAAGTGAATGCATTGCAAAATCCACCAAAAAATCTTTGCAATAAAGTTTCAAAACTAATTTGTAAACTCAATATCGATGCGGGCTTTGCGTCGGGAATACACGAAATCTTGTGGTGTCTTTTGTCCGCTTATTATAACAATCAAACCGTTATTTTGATTCCCGATTGGACTAAATATTTTGGCCGAAGTCGTGACGTATGGGAGCGAACTTTTGCATACCTTTTCGACAGCCATTCACGTGAGAACTGGAACGACATCTTTGTTCCGCTCAGCACTTCCTGTGACTACAAAGAGTTGCCTTCACATCAACTCAATGTTCCCGAAAGACTAAATACAGTGATTGTTAGGAAACTTATAAACCAATTGCCCAAACAATTTGGTAGTGACCTAATGGCCATTTTGGACAATCCCAACTCGTGGTTTCACTCGCAGTTTATTGGCTATATATTGCGGCCACAGCCGAGACTCCGCACATTCCTCGACGAGTTTAAGAGAGACATTAAATACAGTCATCCAATTGTCGGCATTCAAGTGCGAAGGACTGATAAAATCAGTTTCGGAGAGGCTCTCTATTATCCGATCTCTGATTATATGGTTTCAGTAAAAGATTATTTCGATAAACTAGAGCTCACACAACAAGTGTCTCAACGACTTGTTTATGTGGCTTCCGATGACCCGTCAGTAATGCCTCAACTCATTAAACAATATCCAAACTATCGCTTCATTGGCAGCACTTCCAACGCAAAGATGGCTTTCAGTCAAACGACTAGATATTCAAACGAATCTCTTTGGGGAATACTTGCGGACGCATTCCTGTTGTCTGAAACAGATTACATCGTTTGCACATTTAGTTCAGCCGTAAGTTAAAAGCAATTCTTAAGATATTGTTATCTAAAATAAATATTTACTCCGAAAGATGTGTCGCCTTTCGTATCAATTAATGCGTTACAACCAATTGGACGCCTCATTACAATACCGATCACTAGACGTGCCCTTTCATTATCACCACTCTTTAACACCCATTCGGACCGCTCTTTACAATCATTGGCCAAAAAGTGAAGAGCAGTGGAA